CAGACCGCGTCACCATCACGACAGACGCCAGTCTTTACGGTTGGGGAGCCCACTTGCAACCTCACTTCGCGCAAGGTCGTTGGTCCCATTCGGAATTACAAAACAGCATAAATTGGCTGGAACTACGGGCAATCCGTCTTGCCCTTCACCACTTCAGCGTCAGTATTCAAGGCCGGTACGTTCTAGTCCTCACGGACAACGTGGCGGCCAAGGCACACAACTGTCAGGGGGGTACCACGTCCAGATCACTCATGACCGAGGCACGTCTCCTGTTCACCTGGGTGGAGTCCAACCTGGCCTCACTCAAAGCAGAACACATTTCGGGGATCAACAACCTACAAGCGGACTTTCTGAGTCGCTCCACGGTAGATCCATCGGAATGGGGACTGCACCCGGACTTGTTCTCCAAAATAGTTCGCAGGTTCGGTCTTCCGACCCTAGACCTGTTCGCCTCAGCGGACAATACACAACTCCCCAGGTTCTACTCCCGCTACTTCCTTCCGGCAGCAGAAGGGACAGATGCCTTGAGGATTCAGTGGCCCAAGGGCCTCCTGTACGCCTTCCCTCCCCTGCCACTCATCCCATCAACGATCTGCAAAATCCTCTTGGAGCGAGCAGAACTGATACTCGTGGCTCCATACTGGCCTCAGAGGCCGTGGTTCGCGGATCTGATGAACCTGTCCCAGTTCCCCCTGTGGAGAATTCCCCCTCATCGGGTGTCACTACATCAGGGGACCATCTGCCATCCAGACCCTCAATTGTTGCAACTAACCGTCTGGCGCTTGAACGCGGCATAATGGCCCAGGAATTGTTTTCTCCACGTGCCATTACCATAATACAGGCTGATCGCCGTCCGGCGACCAATCGTATCTATGACTCTACCTGGAAGAATTTTTGCGATTGGTGTCAAAGGCGGCGGTTTGACATTCACAACTTATCCATTCCCCAGGTGGTGGATTATCTTCTGGACGGACTGGATCGAGGCCTCGCCCCTGCGACTCTTCGCAGACAGGTGGCAGCCTTATCCACGCTACTCACTGGTGCAGATGCAGTTCCCCTAGCACACCATCCCAGAATTCGCGCCTTTCTTAAAGGAGCGTGTAATACCAGGCCTCCTGTGGTTCACAGGTTCCCGTCCTGGGAATTACCACACGTCCTTTGCGTTTTAACAAAACCACCCTTTGAACCCCTAAGATCCATACCGTTGCGGAACCTATCGCTCAAGGTGACGTTCCTGATCGCCATCACATCGGCCAGGCACATATCTGAGCTAGCCGCCCTTTCAGTCAGGAACGATCTTTGAATCTTCCACAGTGACAGGGTGGTCTTACGTCTGGATCCTTCCTTTATTCCAAAGGTAAACTCACTCTTTCACAGATCACAGGAGGTCGTCCTACCAAATTTTTGTCCGAACCCTTCTCATGACTTGGAGCGGCAGCGGCATATGCTGGACGTTCGTAGGCCGTTGCGCCATTATATCAAGCGCACGGAACCATTTCGTTGGTCTGAAGCCCTATTTGTATCCTTTCGCCCGGCTTCTCTAGGGCAGAAGGTCTCCGCCGGCACAATTGGCAGGTGGATCAGAAATTGTATTGCGGAAGCGTACCAGTCCTCTTCCCTGCCGACTCCAAGTCATCTCACTGCTCATTCCACTCCCAGCGCTGCTACCTCTGCAGCATGGGCCACACAAGCTTCTATCGAAGAGGTTTGCAGAGCTGCGACATGGTCATCACCTTCTCCGTTTGTGCGTCACTATAAAATTGACCGCTTTGCTTCTGCGGATGCCTCCTTCGGGTGGCGTGTCCTCCAGCAAGTGGTGTCTCAAGACACTAATCCGGCCTCTGTTTCCCACCCAACGGGACAGTGAGGCTTTGGTATGTCCCATTGGTGGATTCTCCATCTCCTGTACTGGAGAAGGGGCGTTGTCTTACCTGAACGCCTTTTCTCAGTACGGAGATGGAGAATCCACACCCACCCTTCTAGGTCAGATAGGCCAAACTCAAGGGTTTGAGAGCCAACACCTCCATCTTCAGCCACTTCCACCTCGTTAAGACTGGATCTACAGCAAGAGGGGGCGTGTCAAGTTTGGCTACTTGGTCAGGCAGGCAGACTTTGATTACCCATTGGTGGATTCTCCATCTCCGTACTGAGAAAAGGCGTTCAGGTAAGACAACGCCCCTTCCCATTTTCTTTGCTAGTCAGAAGGTCATAAAAAGTGATCACATGACTCTGGGATACTGCAAGAATCATAAATATGAACCAGCTGTCCACCATCCAAATGTAACGGTCATAAGTGCGAAAATGGTCATAAGTCACTTTTTTCAGTGCTTCATTCAATGATTCAAACAATCACTAAATGAACTTATCGTAAGTCAAGGACACCTGTATCTTGTTTTTTTCTATTTAAAAACTTCTGTTCATGCTTATTACTTGATGGTTCCTGAAATATAAGCCAAATTTTACACATCTTGGTTACTGATTCACCAAACATTTAAGTTTCATTGTATTATTATCTGCTATCACAGCAAACTGACATCCAGTGTTGTTTCCAGGTGGAAGTGCTTAGCAGAAATGCTAAAGGCAAACATGGAATGGTTAATCCTGGCATTGTTATTTATATATGTTGATTCCTCTTTCCAGATTTGAATTGATTTATCATAATATCAGTATACCAAAAAGGAAATAAGGAGTAAATTAACACCAGCTTTATAAGCCTGTTTAGCAAGGGTACAGTTGGCACCAATGTGGAAAACTCAACACTGGATAGCACAGAACAAGCTGGTTTCAAAGAAGGACAGTCAACACTTGATACTGCCTTCTCCTTCATCTTCAAACTGAAAAATACTACAGTCATCCTCATGGGATCCTTTACATTGTCTTTCTCCAGCATGAGGATGGAGAATCCACGAATGGGTTTAGACTGTCTTCCTGCCCAATTAGACTAAGTCTGACAAAGTAGCCACGTCTCCTGCTGGGTCCTGTGCTTCCCAGAAACGACTTCACCCATGTCCCAATCAGCACCAGAGGCCACATTCACACCCACAGTGGCTGGCCTTCGCCCCACTCGTCTCAGGACAGAGACTCAAGCCCAGAGGAATGGACATCCAATTATCCGAAGATGAGGAGTCTGCTCCGGACCCCTCTCCCTGGTGGGGTCTATTCGACCCCTCTCCCTGGTGGGGCCTATTCGACCCAATCCACCAATGGGTTTGCTCTGTCTTCCTGCTCATTAGACCAAGTCAGCCAAACTTGCCACGTCCGTCCAGTCTTGACTTGGTCTCCAGCTCAAACAGACGTGGCAATCTTGGCTCCCAGAAAGCAGGTAGTATTGAGCTTACTTTGTTGGATTCTCCCTTGCATCCAGGGCATTTCAGCAGCACTGGGATCAGCGCTGCTCAAAATGATTACTGGAAGACAAAGCCCCTTTACTGTTTTAAAGGTAGATTTTGATTCAATCCTAGCTAGGTTCTGGGGAAAACTTTTTCATCTTTTGTTTATTTATTTATTTATTAAATTGTTGCAGAGGATGAAACCATATGAAGGCACTGTAACAGTGTTGCTCTAGTGCTTCAGGATTTTTTTCACCCATAATTAATATTCACAAATAGGCAAAGCAAAGTGGTTCTCACAAAGCTTGAATTTCTTCCTCCTCTTATTAAATAATAGATTTGTTTTCACTCATCTGTATTCCAATATATCAACTCTCTTGGTAACACGGAGTAGATCTCAGAGTTTCTGTGATCTGCTAGTAGCTAATAACTACTAGTCTACTATCAAAATGTCACCTTTCCTAAAAGGCCTATTATTCCTGCTACTCTTAGAAAACATTGATCAAATTGAGTTCTTTAAACATTTAGATATATTTTCTAAGCCTTGATGACCTAGAAGAGAGATGTCACCATTAGGGCTCATAAACTTTCAAATATAACTTTTCATTTTGCTAATCGTTATACCAATAATATCCCAGCTACAATAAGGGGGGGAACAGTGCTTTGGTTTACATATAGTAAGACTTTTATGTTGTCATAGAAGCCAGTCATATTATTTGATATATCATGTACCGTTAACCCATTGTCTTGGTTGGCATGCTCCTGAGAAAGCCTGGTCTGAATTGAAACAAAGGGTGCTAGATACTGATATCCAGCATGAAATAAAATCTTACTTCTGCGGTAAATGTGCTTATGGAGAGATCATTCTTCCCTGTCAAATGTTTATCTCTGCCCATCCTGTAGAACAGCTTTAACTCTAGCCATTACAATGTTTTCCCACCTTCACTATAAGAAGGAAAATTAAATTACAGTGTTCTACAAGAGATTTTGGCCCTTGCTAACTAGAAAAAAATAGTCTTGCCTGTATTTTTATAATGGCCCTTCTTTATGGTGTGGCAAGTTTACCAAATAATGCTTTCCTTAGGTCAGTGGTGGCGAACCTATGGCACGCGTGCCAGAGGTGGCACTCAGAGCCCTCTCTGTGGGCACGCGTGCCTTGCGCCGGAGATAGCGAGGGACTGGCCCCCACCACCCTGCCCCCGCGCACCCAGTCTGACATGACCACCGCGGCCACGCCCACCCGGCACCCGGTGATAAATAAGTGGGTTTTGGGTTGCGGTTTGGGCACTGGGTCTCTAAAAGGTTCGCCATCACTGCCTTAGGTGACTTGCACACCCACTGAAAGGACAATTCCTTCCTCCTCCTAACTGATAAGTACTGGATATTAGCACTCACTGAAGTTGTGGAAATTTACAATTCCTTTGACAAGTTCAATTGTTTAACAATTATGGTAATTTTAATATATTGTAATGTTAGCATCTGTTGTAACTTATTAGCTAGCTTTGTTCTATTTTCTAGTGCACTTTTTTAACTTCAACAAAGTTTTTTTCATTGTTTTGAAGGAATAATTCAGAATTATAGACATGTGCTAAGGCAAAGTTTTACAGAATGCTGGCTGTTAATTATTTTCACTCTGTTCTGAGCAATTATTTTTCTTCTTTAAAATTTCAGTTTAATTTTGTTGGAAGAATTCTTGGGCCTAGAGGGCTAACAGCTAAACAACTTGAGGCTGAAACAGGATGTAAGATAATGGTCCGAGGCAAAGGGTCCATGAGAGACAAGAAAAAGGTAAGTTCATTAAAGAATAGCAGTTTATTGTCAGGAAAACTTTTTCACAGATGGCAGAATTTCCAATATAATTAAATGATTAAGCTAATAAAATATTCCATAGTTACTATATTACTAAATTATGTAGTACTTTGGAAAAAAGTTTTTTATTTTATTCAAGTCATTTGTACATATGTTATATGTTCTGAAGGAAATCTTGAGGCTTTGCTTACTTACAAAGTGTGTGTATGTATGTGTGTTTTGGTGGAATGTCTACTAGGATTTTGTAACATCCTCCAGATATGGAGAGAATTAAATTTAACATTAAAAAAGAATTAAATGCAATCTTATTTTCAAGAATAGAGGGGCAGCTGTATTTTTTTTTTTTTTAAATGGAAAATCTGCCCATTACAACTACATAGTATATTTGGATTATGCAAAGAGCTTTGAGAAATTACATATTTCAGTAAACCCTAATATATAAACTGACTGGACTAAGAAATAGCTGTTAACAATCATGGTTAACCATGGTTAACAATCATGGTTAACCATGATTGTCAGTCATGACTGATTTTAATACTTGAGGTCTGTAATCTTGGCTCCTCTGTTATATAGTTATGACTCAGATGTTCATTGCAAAAATCCTAAAGACAATATCATGTTTAGAAAGAGTTTTCTCTATTATAATATCACTACTCATTGTTAATTAACCATTCACTGAAAAACAGATAAAATCTTCTGGTTGGTTCTTTATATAAAAAAGGAGCTGTATTTTGAAAGTTTGATATGAAACATAGATTCATTATCCTGCAGCTAAATGATTCCTGGTTTTCCAATTAGTTTAACCATTATATGAATTGGTAACCAGAATTTCCAGCACTGGTTTGAAATACTTTTATAAATAGTTTTGATAATTTTGTTGGTGTCATATACCAACACTACATCATTTTATATAAATTTTCTCTTAAATTATGACAATGTAAGTTAGTTTAGTAATAGCAATAGCACTTATATACTGCTCCATTGTGCTTTACAGCACTCTCTGAGCAATTTACAGAGTCAGCCAATATTGCCCCCCAACAATCTGGGTCCTCACTTTATTGACCTCGGAAGGATGGAAGGATGAGTCAAACATGAGCTGGTCAGGTTCAAATCCTGGCTGTTGGCAGAGTTAGTCTGTAATATTGCATTCTAATCACTGTGCCACCATGTTTACTTACATTTTCTCCCAAATACCCTCTCTATAAAGTATGTTGCTTTATTTTAAATGTTATATTTTCCATTTCGGGTACTTGTTCAGTGATATTCTGGCATCCAGCCTCCTTGTATACAACTAAATTTAGATCCAGTTCATAATATCTTGTGAATATTGTGTATTTTCTTAATAGTATGATCTTTAAAATAAGACATCTGGAAGACATTTATCTTCTAATGAGAGGTCTCTATGTGCAGAAGAAAAAGAATAGGATTGATTGCACACAATCTAAAATTTCAAAGTGCTTCTAGATTATTTGCATGCCTAATTACTCTGCATTCAAAATTAAGTGAACTAGCTTCTTGGAACTGGAAAATGAAATGCAATCTTTTATGGAGAAAATATCACATTTGCATGTTTGTCTTTCTATATTTTAGAATTAGATTTTTTCAGTGTACGTAATAATAGTGTCTAAAAATATATTTATGCTTCTGTATTAAATGAGTGAATAGGACCCTGAAACATCAGCTTTTGCTTTGATGTAGCACAGTAAAGTGATGTTGAGAAAAACTTAGCAGTGATGTGCATTTTGGTGATAAAGAACTATGTCAGAATAGCAATTAATTACCTGCTTTGCTTGATATGGAAAACAGTGGTCTTATACTTCCTACTCCTTGGCAATTCAAATGTTTCTTTTGGTGAAGGATATTAATACACATTTGAATTTGCTTAGATTAATATTTGATTTGTGTGACTGCAGTAGATAAAGCAAGTGTATTTGAGTTCTTGATATTTTGTCTAAAGTACGCGGGAAAGTAGTGAAAAGATCAGTTTACATATATATAGGAAATAAGATAATATGTTAAGTTAATTGAAATACACATCAGTAATTATGCAATTCCAAGATTTCAATGTACTACCTCTGCATCTTTGGCTTTACATTAATAATTTGATTTGAACTGGTACAAAGAAGAAACCAAAGAAACCAGGAGTGGTAGTATTTCGGATACCTTTTATAGATGTATAAAAACTAGTGGGGGGAAAAAGTAGAAGTCAAAATTTGATACAATTCCTGGAATTATTAGGTTCTCTTTCTACTTAATAATAACAATTGCCTTAAAATGAATGAGATAATTTTTATAATAGACATATAAGGTAGACTAATGTTTTTCTATATGAGGGCATGCTTGTGTGATAAATTGGCACACTACAACATAAGTGTCTATTAAAAGAAAAAAAAAACTAATTTTGTATATAGTAATAATGAACTCAGTTGTCGAGTATAGCAACAATGAGCTATTGAAATGAGCAGGATATATTAGTAGGTTTGGAAGATGCTGATGTTTACCAAAAAAAGGCCTAAGGTGACTGTCACTTTCTCCAGCATGATGGATGGAGAATCCACCAATGGGTTAACTCTGTCTTCCTGCCCAATTAGACTAAGTCTGTCAAACTTGCCACGTCTCTCCTGGGCCAGGAGACCTCCCAGTCACGACTTAGTCTGTGCCCAGAAAAGACGTGTCAGTTTGGCTCCCAGTTTCAAACTTAACTACAGAGCAGGTTGTATGGTTCTTTTTTCCCCATTCGTGAATTCTCCATTTCCCCTTGCAGCGCTGGGATCAGTGCAGCGCCTAAACGCTTGGCGTTTTTCTCCAGCACTGGAGATGGAGGATCCACCCGTGGGTAGTGACTGTATTCCTGCCCAATCAGATCAAGTCAGCCAAAGTTGTCACGCCCTGTCCTTGGACCTATGCCCAGTCTTGACTTGATCTTGCCCATGAACAGGACGTACAACTCTGGCTCGTAGAGACTATCTGAATTTAGTGGTTCCTCCATCTCAGTTCT